CACACACACACACACACACACACACACACGAACAACAACCAAAAAAAAAGAAAGTAAGAAAATGGTTTTCAGGCTTCTGGACCCGAGCTGGGCCTCCCTTCCACCCTTTCCTGGAGACCCCGGAAACCCAAGCATCCCCCTGCCTGGTGTGCACTCCAAGTCAGCCCAAACCCCGGGCACATTCTGCCCCCCACGGGAGCCCCTGGCCCATGAAGGCGTGGCCACTGCGAGCTGTGTGACTGAGAGGCCACACCCCTCCACCTCAGCGGGCCTGATTGGCAGGGTCTGGGGAAATCCTGGGAGCTGCAGAGCTGGTGTCGCAGTGTCGCCGGTGCCCTAACCGTGTGTCCCTCTCTCCAGCAGTGGCCAATGTACATGGTGGACTACACCGGGCTCAACGTGCAGCTGCCGGGACCCCTCAATTACTGGACCTCAGCGCCCAACCAGGACCTCACAGAAAGACTAAAGGAAGTATAATTTATGTACAAAGTGTATATTCGGATATGTATCGATGCCTTTTAGTTTTTCCAATGATTTTTACACTATATTCCTGCCACCAAGGCCTTTTTAAATAAGTAAAAAAAAAAAAAAAAAACACCAGTGTCGCCTGTCTTAATAATCCATGTTCTCTTCTGGAATCAGGTGGCCACCATGGTGGTGGTGGTGGCAGGGACAGGGGCAGTGATCCTCCTGCCTCGCTAGCCCCTCCCTGCCTGAGGGGATGCAGCTGTCTGGGGATGACCGGCCACCTACCTGCTGCTGGTGGTGGCCGTGGGGAAAAGCTATGGTAACGGCAAGGGCAGCGTGGCGGGCAGGCGCGGACAGGCTCCCTCCGCCTAGGCCTGGAGCCCTGTGTGGCAGGCCTGACCCTCGCCCTTCCTACAGGGGCCTGGGCGGGCCCGTGTCCAGCTTGGCTCCCGCTGCGGGCAGTCCAGGGCCAGCCTGGCTCACAGAAGTAAATGAACCAAAAGCCAAGCTGGGCGTGGCTGTGCACATCTGTAAGCCTGGTGTTTGGGAAGCTGAGGCAGGGGGGTGGCAAGTTCAAATTCAGTGTAGCAGCTTAGCAAGACCCTGTCTCAAAAATGGGATGGGGAGGCAGCTCAGTGGAAAGGGCCTGGGGTCAGCCCCAGTGCTGCACAAGAAAACCTCACACTTCTGTGGCTCAGAGACCACTGGGTGGTGCCACCAAAGGACACGTTAAGGGGTGAGATGGAGGCAGCCGGGAGTGGAAACCCCGGAGTTGGTGGTGGCTGCTGCCTGTTCGTCGCATCCAGGAGCTGAGCCCTGGCTCTGTTGGGTGCCAGCTGTGTCCCCACTGGTGGGCAGATAGCACCCGGGGGGACCTCACTGTACAGCGAGCATCCCGAGGCCAGGCTGAGGCACAGGTCTAGGGCAGCTGCGACCCCATTGTTACTGCAGTGGATTGAGCGCCCAGCCCAAGCCAGGTCACTTGTCAAGGCCTGATTTTAAAATCGCTGGGGAAGCAGCTCAGTATTCAGGCCCTGGGGTCCACTCCCCAGAGCAATAGCTTGTTTTTTCTTTTGTCTTTTTGAGAC